AAAAAAAAAAAAAAAAACCGAACTTGTCGGCTTGCCGAAAAAAGGTATTGGTGACAGTGAGGCTGTGCACCTTTTGCTGAGAAGTAGGCCGTTGGCATTACACTTGCCTAGTCCATTTCTCCCTATGGTTTCCTGCCAATCTCTGCCTGCTTTGGCATTAAGTCGCCAAGGAGCACAACCTTGTCTTCTCTGGGGATATAGGTTAGCACTCTGTCAAGGTCGGCATTAAAGGCCTCCCTGATGTCATCCTCTGCATCCAATGTTGGGGCGTATGCACTGATGAAAAAGGCATGACAGAGTGATTCAGTGGGACTCGAAGCGTCATGAGGCGCTCGTTGATCCCAATAGGCAATTCAGTTAGCCTGTGTAGGATGCGTTGGCGGATGGCAAAGCCAACTCCATATATGTGGTTTCCTGTCACCAGGCTTAACCTTCCAGAAGAGGTGTAGCCAGACTCCCGCTCTGTGAGCTGGCCTCATCTGGGAGCCGGGACTCACTAATGGCTGTATAATGAGACAGAGGAATGAGAGAATTAGATTACATATATATGTAAGAATAGTATAGAGGAATGTAAAGATAGGAAACTTGGTAGCGTGGCCGGATGATGACTCAGCGTCAAATACGCTTATCTTATCTCGTATGTCAATACACATATATTACTTCTTAAAGGGACAAATTTGTTAAACACCTCTTCGATACAACTATTTATTAATTCACTCAATGACATGGACACATTAATATCATTATTATATCGGGTACTAACACATTATGTTTTACGTTTCTACACTGACTCTCGACACACCTGAATGAATACACTTCCACAGGTAACTCACCCTAGGAATCGTTCTGACAAGACCGTGTACCCTGACGTAGCCCCGTGGATGCTTTGGGCTGCCTCCTATGGGAGGCTTCTGCTTAGCGGGTCTGGTCAGGAAGTCCCTCCCACCTGGAGAGAGGACAAGCGTGACTCTGAGAATCTCCAGAGTAATGTTCGAATGGCAACCAGGATCAGAATGATAATGCCCCAGAATGATAAACAGAACCAGAATGATCGTGGACGGGACTGTAGGGCCTTTATATGGGGTCGGCCCAGCGGCTTTGACCTCTAACCAATTATCACTAAACTGGTTTGATCTGGATAGCTGTGTGCAGGTGTGGTCCTGCCCAGGTATCTTGGTTGTGAGGTTGTAGGTCACCCGGCTAACTCATCATTAGCGGCCGACCTGAGGTGTGTCAACCCGGAATGTGGTGGTACCACGAGGTCTGTAGTGTACTTGCTGTTATATGTGACATAATTCTGGGCTGTAAGCTTTGGTCTGACAATCAATCATTACAGCTGCTATGTCGATGTTATACCTTGCCAGCTCTTTTGTCACAAGGTCTTCTTTCAGGACGCTCACTTGTGCCAGTATCCAGAACGGTCCCGACATTCCATGCAGCGACCATAAAGGTTGTATGGTTTGTTTTTGTTTGGATCTGTGATGTTGACTGTTTTCGACCGGATAAGGATGACCTTACTGTGCAGTTGCCCAGTCAGGTTGGGTTACACACACACAAACACAATTCACGTATAGCTGTCGAGGAGGCACACGTCTCTAGCCTTTATAGGGTGAGGACATCGGCGCTGCCCGTGGTTTGTCAGGCCTTTCCTTGCCTCATCTCCTCCCCATCTGGATTATCAACATCCTCCCACCAACAGTACAGTGCAAAGATTGACGATTAACCACAAGTGATATACGAAAGTTACAATTTTAGCTCGAATGGAAGAAACTGTTAGAGTGACAATTAGTGCTTAATGGTCAATGTTGACCTGACGCGGATCTAACACACCCAGTACGCGGTACATTCACCACCACCAACACTGGATGAGAAGCTAAGAAAGACTCCAAATTATATCAGAGACATGAGGACTCCCTACTCCACCCAGGCGAGGAACTATGTATTCCTAACTACATCACATGAGGAACAAGAACCATCTCCAACACCCTGTGTGAGCTGAAGGATTTATCCGGACCAAGTGGTGCATCTGCAACTTTAGTGAGGGCGGATTAGCGGCCAGGTATAACGCAACGGTCATCCAGAGGATCACAAGGATGTCTACAAGACCAGCTCCTACAGTACCAGATCTATAGTTAATCTATATGTTGACTCTATGTTTCTTATGTGTTTGTATTGAGCTTCTGTCAGTCAAGTGACCCATCCGATTTCATCATATGTAACTTATCACCTCTGTTCATTGTATATTTTCAGCCTTCTGGCTGTCATGTTACCTTAATAAACCGTTAATAATAATAATTATTATTATTATTATTATTATTATTATTATTATTATTACGCACACACGGCGAGCGCGCGCAGAGCATTGTTCAATAGTAAACCACTTCAAAGAACTTTCATACATGCGTTCCATTGATAATTCCCACGCTTATTCTGTTCATCTGATGTACACAGTTTCAGTCTCACCTGAAGATTAGGCACTAAAGCTTATTTAACCGGATGATTAAAACACCCAACTCTAATCTAAACTAACTTAATCTAAGCAGACCTAACCTAACCTAATATAACCTAACCCCGAGATAGCTTGTTTAATTATCAGGTGAAATAAACTGGAGGCCCAATCTTCATAAAAAGTTTATTCCTTCACAAAATACTGTAACATAAATCTTATGTCCCGTTGTATCTCAGGACCTGGAGGAGGCAAGGCGCTGGTGACGAAGGCTTTATTTACTTCAGTCTTGGTTCAGCAGTAAAGCCGTCCAGTATGCCTGAGAAGTGAGTACTGTATATACTTCGAGTGTAGGACAAAACCCTGGATAAAATGCCTGGACAAAAGACCCTAGGAAAAAAGGTTCGTGCAACAAAAGCCCCCTAGAATAATAAGACTTTTTATAAAGCTTACACATTGCATTTATTATATCACAAAGCTGCAATACTTAACTTAACCTAACCTAAAATAGCCTAGCCTAACCTAGCCTAGCCTAGCCTAGCCTAACCTACCCGATTTGCACTTTAACTGAGGGGGCTTTATCCGAGGGCTTTTGTCCGGACCCCATATACTTCGCTGCCAGTCTATTTCCCAGATCGTTCAGTGAAAAATGAAGACAATGTCGTATAAAAGTGTTTAATTTTCATTCTAGGTGTCATAACTGCAGGTAGTGTATCCAGGTTGGATGTGAGTAAGGCTCATGGACCGGACGGAATACCCTCGCGTTCTGAGGAGGCTGAAATTCTAGCCCTGTGCTTGCTCGCCTCTTTCGCCTTTGCCTCAAAACCCAAAATTTTCCTTCTGAAGCATGCCTCAGTTCAGCCCATCCCGAAGAAGGGTGACCATTCAACCTCTAACTGTCGCCCCGTTGCCCAAACTTCATCCCTCTTAAGATTTTCAAAACTATCTTAAACTCTTATTTTCTCCGTCACCTTGAAGGCTTTTCTCTTTTGTATGATCACCAGTGGCTTTCGCCAGGCGAGATCTACTGGTGATCTGCTCTCCTACTGCACCCATCTTTGGTCATCCTCTCTTAGGGATTATGGGGAAACTTCTCGGGCCTCGACATCTCCAAAGCATTTGACAGGGTATGGCACAAGTCTTTTTTCCAAACTTGCCTCCTATGGTTTCTTCCCACTTTGGTCTCAAATTTCTAGTTACCTTGAGAACCGATCCATGGCAGTTGTTGTAGAGGGATCGATCTCTCGTCTCTACCAATAATGGTGTCCCACAGGGTTCTGTTCTTTCACCTAATCTCTTCCTTCTTTTATCAAAGTTTACTTCACACTACGATTAATTCTATCCATTCTTATGCGAATGATTCTACTCTTCACAATTTTCCCTTCCTCCTAATTCTCAAACCAGATCTGTTTCTAGAGCTGATATAATTTCATCTATCAATGCGGATCTGTGCAGCATCTCCGAATGGGAGGTAGAAACTTGGTTAAATTCAGTAGTAATAATACTCAGAATTTACCTATTACACTTTCCAAATTAGATGATCTCCCACCATCATATTTCAGGAGGCAATCATTTTGCTAAGTTCTAAAATAGATATGCTAGGCCTCACCATTTCTTCTAATATGTCATGGAGCCACACATCCACATCATTGCTAAAGCTGCCTCCCGAATGCTGGGAGTGCTGTACAGATGCCGAAGCTACTTCACCCTAAACAGTTGCTTCAAGTTTATAAGGAACTCGTACGTCTTAACTTGGAGTACTACTCTCATATCTGCGGTGGCTCTTCTCCTGCCAACTGTTAGATTGGGTGGAATCAAAGGCATTTCGTCTTATTGACTCTCCTCCTTTGTTGATAACCTTCTTTCCTTTCTCTACGCCGCAATGTTGCTTCACTTCTCTTTCTAAGTCCTTTAACGGGCACTATTCGGTGGAGTTGGCATCCTGTACCGCCGGCAAGGCCGTGGGCTGTAACACTCGTCTTGCCCGCTGTGCCCACCGTTTGTGTGTGGATGTCGGTCACACTACAGTAGACTAACCTCTATAGTACATATTTCTTTCTCACACAGCCAACCTTCTTCTATGTTTCCATACTCATACAATCTGTCTCACTTTAAATAGCTGGTTTCCAGCATCTTCGTGTGTAGATTAATATAATCTTTTCTTTCCTATTTTTAATTTATTTTACTCTCATTTTTTTCGCCCCAGGCCCAGTCGATGACCTGTGCCGGGTGGGCTATTCCCGTAGAAATAGAAAGAAAAGTGACTAATAAGAAAATTGGATCACCAAGATTATACTGTATTCCTTTGATGATTAGCTACCCTAACGTTTGCTGGGAAATTAGGTTAGTGGTGTTTTGTTAGTTTAGTTGTTAGGTTAAGTTAGGTTAGGTAGGATAGCGCTAGCATAGGTAAAGTGCATGAACTAAACTTAGGTGTTAATTCGACCCAGAAAAGTTTAATGCCCGTTCAATGAAAGAGGCGAAGATGAAAGAGGGTAGCGTGGCACAGTATATTATTAACTCCTGCACGTCTTGTGTTTAGGTACAGGACCATTTTGTTGAAGTGTTTGGGTCCCTGAAGCAGCGGGTCCTGTGGAAGTGGGACGAGGACACCATGGATGACCTGCCCCTAACGTGCGTCTCGGCAAATGGCTCCACAGCAGGATATTCTCGGTCAGTTCACCAACCTTTTCATAGTTTGTTTTGATGATATTAATTAAGTCTTAGGAGTATGAGTTAGCTCTTCAAGTCAATGTTTTAACCCATTGATGACTATGACTTAATCCTTGAAGACATTGTTTTATTCCTTTGGCGATGGTTTAACCCTTTGAGAACGATGGTTTACCAACTTATAGACAAAACCAACTGTAAAGGACCTGGGTGTATATAACAACGAATTGAAGTTATCGGACCATTATGAGAAGGTAAAGCAAGCATCTAAGCTAATAGTTCATATAAGAAGGGTGTCAACACTCCTAGACAGTCTGCCTCTCATCAATCAACCAATAAGAGTACAGTCCTCATATCTGAGGGTTGGCGACCAGATCCTCCACTATATTCGTTCTCGGCTGCTTTTACTAACCCTCCAAGATTTTGTTTCTCTGGGAACCCATTTTCTTATTCATCCATCCCAGTCTCTGCCTTCCCTGGCCTTCCTACCCTCAACTTTGACCATTAATATTTTTGTTATTATCCCTCATCCCGAATTATGTGACCTAAGTATCCCATTTTTCTTTTTCTGTACATTTCAAGTATTTATCTTGAAGATTTTGCTACCCTTAGTACTTCATTTTTTCCTGTCAATATAACTATCTTTAACATATGTCATATAACACCACATTTCAAAGGCCTCCAACCACTTCCTGGTGTCTGTTGAAAGTGTCCATATCTCTGATCCATACAACAGTCCTAACCATATATATAAATATCCTTTCAGGAGCATTTTTCTCAAATTAGACTTAAAATCCTCATAAAGTTTTAGATTATTAAATGCTGTTTGCTTGTCCTATTCTTGTTATGATTTCTTCTATACATCTTCCATCACAACTAATGTTACTTCCCAAATACACAAAATTATCCACTTGTTTAAGTTTCTGTTGTCTAAAATAATTTGTAATTTTGGATTTATTTCAAATTGGAATCAACCATAACTTTCGTCTTTCCAGTAATAACTCTTAACCCACATTCTTTCATTTTTTCCTTTATTCTGTTAACCAGTTTTTATAATGCCTCTTCACTATCTGTGATAAGACCAGTTTCATCTACATAGCGTATATTGGATATTACTTTACCATTAACTTTTATTCCTTCATTGACACATATAACTTCTCTCATTAATAATTATTAACATATATTATACAATGTTGGAGACAGAACACAGCCTTGTCTTACTCCTGTCTAACTGTTGCCAGTAACGAATGTTTTTAATTATAATATCTGCTTCATTAATAACTATTTCTTTCAAAACCTCTATAAGTTTATTGTGTTTTTAGATGATCAAAAGCCTTCCAAAATCAACAAAGCAGATATACAAATTCTTTAGAACTGTAAAGTCATTTCACTCAAAGTTCTCAAACCACGTACAGCTATAACTGTCTCGTTCAATTTCCTTTTCTAAATCCAATTTGATTTACAGATAATTCACTGCTCTTGTTAATTTTATTCTAGTGAAAATTATATTTCATAAAACTTGCAGACATGACTTATGAAGCGTATTTTAAAACTGGCACTCTAAGTCTTGAGATTTTAGATAATAAAACAAATATTGATTTTCTGACATCATTGTCCTTTGAAGTATTTAGAATTACATATTTTAGTCAAAGATATGAAACTATTCTTGTCCATTTGTTTTATAATTGAAAGCTGATTAACCCCTAGCAACATTTTATTTTGCTCATAGCTTCCTCAACTTCTTATTCCAGAATTTTTATTTTTATTTTTGTAAACCTGACTTCGTTTCCTCATATTTCTACTTATTTCTATTTTCTTAAAATTTAATTTTCATCCCTATAAGTTTTCCCCAGTCTCTGCATTACTTCTTTGTCATTAATAAGTTGTTGTCGTGGTTCTTGTTCATCAAAGTCACACACTTCAGAAGTGAGGTGCTTCCCGTTTGGTAGTACTGCCACCTCGTCTGGTGCCCGTGATGTGGTAGAGTCTGTCAGTATATCGAAAAGTTCAGAGGAGAGCCACCAGACATTGCTTACACTGCAGCATATCAGTTACTGAGATTGGAATGCCTGCAGTTGCCTAACTTAACATTTACTCAGTCGAGTGTCTAAACGTGGATTGGCGGGTGCCCAATGCGTCAGGACAGATTTTTTTGTAATGATAGTTGTGAACTCCTGGAACAATCTCCGAGATTGTTGTGACGGCACCAAGTGTGAGTTCTTTCAAGACCAGAGTTTACCAACACTAGCACAGGCACATTTTGGAGTCAGTACTTGCCATCAGTGAATAACAGAGACGTGACCGATCGTCGAAGTGGTTAACAAGCCGATGGCAAAGAGGATAAAGTGTGATAGCTGTTTTGGTATCACATTAATTGTTTTAATTAAGTTCTGGAACTCTTTAAGTGGCTGGGTTTGATGTAAACACTTTTAGCTGTTTTCTTGTTTGTTGTAGAAGCAGCTATATACACAGATATAATCTGAGAGAATAAATTATGAATTCTCTCCAGGGAAGTGTTGTGAATAACACTTGAGTTACGTGTCTCACTCCCTGTCCAAGGGGTAATCCTCTACTGGCCTCTCTGTGAGAGAGAGAGGCGTGGGAGCGAGCCAGCTGTTTTGATTAATCAGCTAACCTCCACTCGACCTTTAAGAGAGTTACAAGCCCAGCTGTCTGTTGCCGACAACATGTTGACTCACTTGCTGAATAACTTGATGAAAAAGTTGGTGTTATTCATTTGGGTGAATATTTACATAAAGTAAAGGTGCTGTTGCACCAGTAAGTAAAGTATAAAGATAGTGTAACCCTTTTTAGGGAGTTGATCTAACTGTTAGAGGAGACTGGTTTAACACTTTGAGGATAATGATTTAACCTTTTCTTCATCAGATGGCTAATGTGAAGGTCAGCATGGAGGTAAAATAATCATGGCTTCTAATATACTATAGCGCTATCCGAATGTTTGTCTGTCTGTCTCTCTGTCTGTTTGTCTGTGCAGCCGAAACGGCACAATTGTTTTTCATCAAACTTGGTGGAAAAATCGCAAAAAATTCGTAGAGTGGTTCAAACCTGGTCCCATGTCGATGGTTTCTTTAGGAAGCCATTAATTAACCATTTTATTTACGTTGGAAAACGCACCCTAATTAACCACGCAAGTCTACGGACTTGCCACACCCCCTTTCGCTGTACGCTGTCAGCCGGATACAATACAGTACAATACAGTACAATACCATACAATACCATACACAACGAACTATAAATATTTCAGAATAAAATAGTAATTATATAGACATGTAAGACTCACAACTTGATAAGATATCCGTAAGATATCAGCTATTGAAATGAGATTTAATGTTTTGTTATTAATCCAGTAGAAATGTATCGGTATTGGTGGTACAATCCTAAATGGTCTCTAATCCTGCTTGATTTAGGGTGAGGTTGAATCTAAGCCATTGAGATTAAAAGATAAGGGTGTGGTTTATCCCATTCATGTTAGTCTCTTGGTATGACCTATATTGTAACAATCACAACCAGCGCTTATAAATAACCAGACCACGATTATAACAACTGTGTTCATGATTATAACAACCACAATCATGATTATAACAAATCACGACCATGATTATTATGACAACCACGACCATGATTATGACAACCAGGGCCGCTATGATTAGAATAACCAGGACCACGATTAAATAACCAGAACCATCATTATAACAACCACGACCATGATTATAACAACCACGACCATGAATATAACAACCAGACCATTGATTATAACAACCAGAACCACATTGGCATGTCACACTATGGACAGAATAACTACTAATTCATGATTATAAATAACCACGACCATGATTATAACAACCACGTGACCATGATTATGACAACCAGAACCATAGATTATAACAACCACGACCATGATTGCATAAACCAGAACTATGATTATAACAACTAATACGACCGATTATGATAAATCCACGACCATGATTATAAATAACCAGAACTACGATTATAAACAACTACTCACTATGATTATGACAACCAGGCCAAGGATTATAACAACCACGACCATGATTATAACAACCACGACCATGATTATAAATAAATCCACAACCAGCCAAGGATTATAACAACTACAACCATGATTATAATAACCACAACCATGATTATAAATAACCAGGACCATGATTATGACAACCAGGGCTATGATTATAACAACCACGACCATGATTATAACAACCAGGACCATGATTATACTAAATCCACAACTAGGCCATGACGTTATAACAACAACCATAACCATGATTATAATAACCACAAACCATGATTATTATAACAACCAGGACCATGGATTACACAAACCAGGTCATGATTATACAAACTAGGCTATGACGTAATAAATTACGACCATGATTATAATAACCACAACCATGATTATAACAACCAGGACCATGATTATGACAACCAGGGCCATGATTATGACAACCAGGGCCATGATTATAACAACCACGACCATGGTTATAATAACCACGACCATGATTATAACAACCACAACCATGATTATAACAACCAGGACCATGATTATGACAACCAGGGCCATGATTATATGACAACCAGGGCCATGATTATAACAACCACGACCATGGTTATAATAACCACGACCATGATTATAACAACCACAACCATGATTATAACAACCAGGACCATGATTATGACAACCAGGGCCATGATTATAACAACCACGACCATGATTATAACAACCACAACCATGATTATAATAACCACGACCATGATTATAACCACCACAACCATGATTATAACAACCAGGACCATGATTATGACAACCAGGGCCATGATTATAACAACCACGACCATGGTTATAATAACCACGACCATGATTATAACAACCACAACCATGATTATAACAACCAGGACCATGATTATGACAACCAGGGCCATGATTATTACAACCACGACCATGATTATAACAACCACGACCATGATTATAACAACCACAACCATGATTATAATAACCACGACCATGATTATAACAACCACGGCCATGATTATGACAACCAGGGCCATGATTATAACAACCACGACCATGATTATAACAACCAGGACCATGATTATAACAACCACAACCATGATTATAATAACCACGACCATGATTATAACAAACATAACCATGATTATAACAACCACGACCATGATTATAACAACCACCATGATTATAACAAATATAACCATGATTATAACAACCACGACCATGATTATAACAACCACGACCATGATTATAACAACCACGCCCATGATTATAACAACCACGCCCATGATTATAACAACCACGACCATGATTATAACAACCACGACCATGATTATAACAACCACGACCATGATTATAACAATGACGACTATGATCATAACCACGACCATGATTATAACAACCACGACCATCTGTAAAACGCTGACTGTGTACGCTGTCAGCCGGACGGCGGTTGCGTGCTAGCCAAGCACGAGCTTTCAAACTTTCACGCCTCGGTAAACTGTACCACCGGACTCGCCGCCGGGCACGAGGGGCCCACGGTCACTTGTGAATTTACTGTGAGGCAACTAAAGATTTTATATTAATATGGGAACTCTTAATCATAATAGGGAGACAAGATCCACCACACCCCTTTAGAGGAATGTGTAGTAACGCAGAATACAGTTCAGTTCTGTTCAGTTTAGTCATTAAGATCCCCATACAAATTACATTGTTTCATCATGTATATGAGTATATACATTATTGGTAATGAATATACATATACAATGGTGGTAAACAAGACAGTGAGGGTGTAAACACAATGGTAAAGAGTAATCAAACACAAGCCAACAGAGAGAGAGAGAGAGAGAGAGAGAGAGAGAGAGAGAGAGAGCTCATTGAAGGATATTTTTGTTGGTCACTGATAGTAACGACGTCCTGTAAGAGGTTTCATAAACAATCAGCTTTTTGAAGTATAACAACCAACCAATGAAAGTTTACTATAGAGAAGTACTGTACACACTTTACTTCACGTCTCAACAAATTCTCTTAATTAGAGGATACGAAGTATTAATCTTAATTTTTACTTTTCCTAAATCCAACCTAAGAAAATCTATTATGATCATACAAGGCATAAAATAGGCAGAAGTATTTATATAAATGGGTTAATTACTGTACATTAGACTTGTATACTCTATCACCTCCTGTAACTTTCCACTAGCTATGAGGTAGTGTTCAGAGCACGTGATGAGGTGTGCCTACGGGAAGTCTCGTCACTTAGTGCTGAGTTAAGCATTAAGTAGCCGGCTCTCTGGCCACCTATTGCAGTCAATAGTTTGATAACCCTGAGTAGAGGCAGACGTTTTTGAAAGCCATCGTGGATGGTTCCGTCTTCCCTCGAAGGAGGACGTCGGATATATTTCCGTTCTCCCTCGACGGGTTCCTACTCATTCTCACTCGACTATCTCATCATCAACAGGACGTACTTAACATAGCCTCCGTCCTCATTTAACTATCAATAGCTACATTGAGATAATTTACAGTAAAATTATTTTTGAAAGTGTATCTAGAAACCCTTTATAATAAATACAAACAAAGGAACATATTGGATTTCACTACAGAAGATCCAATAAACTTTTATCAATATTTTAGTATGCCTAAAATATAAGGTAACGTGCTTCACAAGTGATTGTTACAAGTGGTGATAACCCAGGAAGATTGTTACATATATGACAGATTCACAAATAACTGTTATATTCACGGTAACAGTCACCTCAACAGATACACAGTTTGTAAAGGTAGATATATTATGTTCTCCCCATTACTGTGGCATACTTCACATCTATTACTATAAGAAGCAATTCGTTATACACAAACACACACACACACACTACATCCTTGACAACCGGAGGGTGAAGACCTATCAGGCGCTGCTCCTGCTGTGCCCCCCCCCCCTTGGATATGTTCAGCCATTCCTCAAGTCCCTCTCCCGAACCCATCCTCACCACCAGGATATCAACATAATCAAAAATGACAATTTCGTTTCGGAAAGAAGTGGGATCAGTGTTGAACAGTGATGAACAGTGTTTAAACCAGTGAATTCAGCACTAAACAGTACCAGCGAGAGCTGTGACCCACCAGTGAGATCAGCACCCCTGGGAAAGAACCACTATCTTCTGACCAGGCGGTGTTAATCACTCCACCCTGGGAACAACAGCGGGCTGGCTTTACACCTGACTACGAGATAACACAACACCACCTAGTAGAGAGTGAGGTACTGTGACACCACCCCACACCACCCGGTGTCTCCATGACCATGTGAGGTCCTTCATATTAACACCCGATGACGAGTTACTGCACCATGTGAACACCACACCACCCGGTGTCTCCATGACCACGTGAGGTCCTTCATATCAACACACTACGGACAAGTTACTGCACCACGTGATCACAACACCACACCACCAGATGTCTCCTTGATCACGGGAGGTCCTTCATATCAACACTTACGGACGAGTAACTGCATTACGTGAACCCAACACCACCCAGGAGTTGTGCCAGACTTGTGGAAACAGGCAAATGTAGTACCCATATTCAAAAAGGATGACAGAGCATCAGCGTCAAATTACCGGTTACCGGACGATTAGTTTGACGTCAGTAGTGGAGAAATTTCTTGAATCTATTATAGCAAATAACATCCGATCGCATTTAGAGAAAAACAAATTAATCTACGACTCTGAACATAGGTTTACAAAGGAAAACCTTGTCTAACAAATTTGATAACGTTTTTTCGTTAAGTCTTCGAGGTAGTAGATAATGACAAATATTACGATGTTATTAACTTAGACTTTAGCAAATCGTTTGACAAAGTACCGCATTAGGGGCTTCTGAGAAAAGTTAGGGCTCATGGTATCGAGGGGAAAGTTTTAAATTGGATAAAATCATGGCTCACCGATAGAACACAGAGGGTCAGCCGAGATTGTGTTAAATCTGAGTGGGGCTGTGTAACCAGTGGGGTTCCCCAGGGGTCAGTACTGGGCCCACTCTTGTTCATAATCTACATAAACGATCTAGATACTGGGATCAGCAGTGACCTAAGCAAGTTTGCGGATGACACCAAAATAGGGCGGCAGATTAATTCAGGGCAGGATGCAAATGCACTACAGGAGGATTTAAATAAACTGCAGGAATGGTCAGCAAAATGGCAAATGAAATTCAACACCAGCAAGTGCAGCGTACTTAATGTTGGAAGAACAAATACTGTCAATGTAAATAGCCTTAACAATATCAACCTAGAGAAGTCGACTTGTGAAAGACTTAGGGGTACTTGCAAGCCCGGACCTACGGCCTAGAAAACAGTGCATTAATGTTCGAAATAAGGCAAACAAAGTATGAGGTTTTATATCTAGAAGTGTAAGTAATAAGAGTGCAGAGGTCTTATTTCAACTATATCTTGCGCTAGTCAGGCCGCACCTCGATTATGCAGTTCAGTTCTGGTGCCCTTATTATAGAATGGCGATCAATTCACTGGAGTCGGTGCAGCGAAGAATGACGAAAATGATTCCTGGACTTACAAACCTTCCATATCAAGATAATGTTAAAGAAACTAAACTTGCATTCCCTAGAAAGACGAAGAGTGTGGGGAGATATAATAGAAGTATTTAAGTGGGTGAAAGGAATCAATAAAGGAGATATAGATAAAGTTCTTATAATATTCGAGCAGGATAGGACTCGTAGCAACGGATTTAAGTTGGATAAGTTTAGGTTTAGGAGGGAGATAGGAAGGAACTGGTTCACAAATAGGGTGGTAGACGAGTGGAACAACCTTAGCAACTTTGTAGTAAGTGCTGGAACGCTGGAAAGTTTTAAAAGGAGGCTAGATAGATTCATGGATGATAGAGAGTGGTAGTACCTCTCGACAGGAGTTGCCATGCACAGGCCAACCGGCCTATTGCAGACTGCTTATTTTCTTATGTTCTTACGTTTTAAGACCACGGAGGTCCATCACATCAACATCTGCGGACGGGTCACTATACCACGTGGCCTATATGACCTCTCACAGTATGACAAGAGACCTGCCCAGGCCATCAACTGCAAACTATAATAATTTGTATGTTCAATTGATGTTCCTTCTCCTTTTAGTAATGAAAGCTTTTGTTAAGTGACCCACCCACCCCATGTCTTTGTACGTAATAAGTAATTTTTGCCTAATGTATATTTTCAGCCTTCGGGCTGCAGACCTTTCTCAATAAACCGTTAATAAAATTATTGTTATTATTATTATTATTATTATTATTATTATTATTATTATTATTATTATTATTATTATTATTATTACAGACACACACACACACACACACAGTTACGACAATTTACACAAAATATGGAAAAATATTCATTTCTAAGTTCATTTCATTTTTTATGTTAATAGTTTGTGTAAAAATGTTAATCAAAATTAAGTTCATCATGTATCACTAACACTGTGACAGGTCATCCTCGCTTACGGCTGTTCATTACACACGGAGGACTGTTGAGTACTCTGGAGTCCATGTACAATGGTATACCAGTGTTGGGTATGCCTGTGTTTGCTGACCAGGAGACCAACATGCTGAACGTGGAACGCGATGGTTGGGGCCTCGTGTTGCTCTGGGCCCAGCTAACACCTGACGCTCTCAAAACACGGATCAAAGACGTCATGACCAACCCGAGGTAAGGTGGGGTTGTTGAATACGATCCATATCTGCACCCATCACTTGGTCCCGCCTGCATTTTTCTGGTCTGGTGCCCTGGATTCGCGGTAGTGGTGATGATCATGATAATAATGAAACGACCCTTGATCAAAAGTGGCCAGTGCGTGAAATTCAGTAACGTTAATTTTTTAAACGTGTTATAATGCGAATCTAAGTTATTGTTTTCACGGCTGGTGTATGGCGGCAGGCTGAAGGCGGAGGCCCAGAGGAGATCGGTGGTGATGCAGGACCTCCCAATGTCGCCAGCACAAGTGGCCGTGTACTGGGTGGAGTACGTCATGAGGCACCACGGAGCTGCTCACCTCCGCTGCCCTGCTGGTGACTTGCCCTGGTCAGTGGATGCCCCTCATAACACTCTTCGATCACCTGAAAATTAACCCCCAATTTATTTCACCTGAAAATTAACTAACATAATATAACTTCACCAGGTAGCTTTATAGTATGTAATGATCAGGAGAAATAAACTGGGACTAATCTTCAGGTGATCCAATGAATTTCACACTAACTCTGTCTTCCAAGTATAACTGGAGTTTATTTACATTTCTCTCTTCTGTTATGTACCTCACTGGTGTTGTTCCTCATTACAGGTACAAGCTGTATAATGTAGACGTGTGGGCCAGCGTGACAGTGGTCCTCCTCCTTCTTACCTACATATCCCTACGACTCTTCTTGGCCTGCTGTTCGTGTCTCTGTTCCTCCAGGTCTAAACGCAAAACAGATTAGCATTTTTCCCCCCTAATGCTTTGTTCACACGGTGTCTGTAATGTGTTAATAAAGAGTAGTGAATTGTTCCTCTCACACTGACCTAAACCCCTTGACTGTTATGACTTCAACTTTTAAGTAAGGTGCGTTAATTCCTTGAGTATGAGGAGTAAATGCCTTAAGTATGCTGAGTTAATTAATGCCTTGAGTATGAGAATTCTTTAAGTAAGATGAGTTAATGCCTTAAGTATGAGGAGTTGTAATGGCCCCTGTCTCATCAACAGAAAGTATTATATAAATGGGTTACTTACATCTGATTTATATTCAGATTCACCCTCTGTAACTTTCCACTGGCTATGAGGTGACATGTTCAATGCACGTGATAAGGTGTGCCCACAGGAAGCTGCGTCATACTATGCTGAGTAAAGGCATAAGTAGCCGGCTCCTGGCCACGTAAAGCGAGCAGTAGTTTGATATCCTTGACTAGAGGAAGACGTTATTTGAGAGCCGTAGTGGATGGCTCCGTCTTCCCTTGAGGGGGAACGACGTACCCATACCTTTCTCCCTCGATGGGTCACTACTCAGGAGTCACTCACACCAACTTTTATCGAACGGACGTTGATCCACATTTATATTACATAAACGCCTTCCTCTTTCTCATTCACTCATAAATAGTGGAACTTACGGTTGATATACACTCAGGAATTATAAACATAATACTTATATAATGAAACAAGAAACTTCAATTAGGTTTCGTTACCAAAAGCCCAATTATATTATATGTGTACCAACCTGGTTAACTGGGGAATTAACCAGTGTAACATATAAGGTGGCAGCGAAGTTGGATAACGGATACAAATTAACCAGTTTACATACCAAGACGTCAGTGTTTTGTGAAAACGAAGAAACAAAAAACAGTGACGTGTTACATAATCCGAGTGTTAAAACTGTATCCCGTATCGAGACGATAATTAGTGAGTGCTTCTCATTCTGTCGCCCAAAGGAAGGTGCAGAATTATTCCAATAACCGCAAGTGAGTTATTGTAGAATTACCATACAGTTAGTTAGTGATACCCCTGTTAAAGACAAGTGAGGGCGGTCAGGAAAGCGTCTGTCAGCACCTGACCATTCTGTGGAGTATTCCCCTGTCGTGAAGTGGATTCACCCGGCGTTCGTCATACAGCGCGCCTTGACTCACAGTGGGAGGGAAGAGTGCCGTTACCCACCCACCACCCTGCACCTGGGACCATCTGTAGTTTCGCGATCGTTGATTGCAGTATTTCCGGTGTCATCAGACAGTCCCCTATATATACGGGATTGCAGAAGATTTGACATTCAGTGGAGGCGACATCATATCAGCGCATAGCCTACAGTGGGAGGGAAGATTGACGTCACCCACACGCCGACACCCACCCCACAGATAGCAACTAGATGGATCGCGTTTTCTATACAGACGTCCTAACTCCTGAATTAGGTATTTAAAGAGTAAAATACTTTATACAGTGAAACTCTATAACTTCTCAAGTGATTGTTACAACTAACAGTCATAACACCATATACACAGTTGGTAAAGGTAGAGGAATTATGTTCTCCCCATTACTGTGGCATACTGGTTTAGAAGAATATATATATATATATATATATATATATATATATATATATATATATATATATATATATATATATATATATATATATATAAAACGTAAATATGCAATAGCAATCAAAGATATTGTTTTTATGTATTACATTTACTACAACAAGGAGAGGGATAAGTACAGTATTTGCTGCTTCTCCTCACAGCACTTCTATAGCGGCCTCTTTAGTAGCGGCGCTAAGCAAAGTGGAAGTGTTGTCAGTGCCGGTGAGGGTTGATAGTACAAGATTGGCTCTTGATTTTGACACGGGTGCATGCGCTAATGTTTTGGCCTTGACATCCTATCAGGAGTTACAACGTAAATTCCCTCACTGCGACTTCAAATGGAGGCCTAGTAACGCTGAGCTCGAAGGAGTATCAGGTACTCAGTTGAGCATTAACGGAATGGTGACGTTACCACTCAGATTTTCAAGACGTGGTTCTCCCTTCTACGCGAACTTTTATGTAGTTCAGCAGTTCAATTTGCCAGCTGACGGGTTACTTGGTCTCCCAACTCTTAGAATGAACATGATAGATGTTCATCCACGTAATAATACTATTACGTTTAAAGGTATTTCCTACAATGCTATGATTCATTCTGAACCTATGATCACCGCTAGATCGAAAGTGTTGTCCACCAATCCTATTAAGAGGAAGGCGGATCATGCGTCAGAGCTACCTCATGACCTCAACCCCACACTTTCCCAGCATGATTATAGCAGCAATAGTTGGAAGATCGTACCTGCAGTTTTGAAGAGTACTCTCCATTACCAGAATGAGGAATTCACCAAAGCAACTGTCGAATTACCCGACGTGTACATTGGCACAGATGTTGTGTGTCTCCCGGAAACGTGTAAGGTAAAAGGGCTATCGTGTGAGTCTACGTTGAGCACCATGCACCCAGGTGGTTTGACAGACGTGCTGATTCTGAATAGCACAGGCGTTCAACAGATATTAAAGAAAGGATGTACAGCCTACAAAATTCCCAATTGGTAGTATTGTTACGCAATACCAATAGAATCGGCAGGACAGGATAGATCAAATAGCACCACATGTTAAGGTGATCGATCATCCTCAAGGCAAGACACGCCTTTTAGAGCTGCTTGCTGACTATGGAAATATAGTAGCCTTGCCAGGGGAAAAGCTAGGTCAGACAGATTTAACATCCCATCATATAGCGTTAAAGGAGGGAACAAACCCTATCTACGTACCAGCTTACAGACTACCTCATAGCCAGCGCGCTGTAGTTCAAGATATGGTGCAGGGTATGTTGGATGAAAATGTTATTAAGCATTCTAAATCCCCCTTTAATAGCCCCTTATTCCTCGTCCCCAAAAAGGATGGTGGATGGCGCCCTGTTATAGATTTCAGGCGCGTCAATGAACAAACGATCCCTCATAGGTACCCTATGCCTGTCTTGAGTGTCATTTTGCAATCCTTAGGTAAGGACAATGCAGTATTCAGCAACTTAGATTTGGTTAGTGGGTATTGGCAGATACCACTCGATGAGAAATCACGAGAGGTCACGGCGTTCAGTACGCCCCTAGGCCACTTTGAGTTCCTCCGGATGCCATTTGGTCTCAGAAATGCCCCACTAACATTTCAAAGAATGATCAACACCCTGTTTTGCCGGATTGATTGGTACCACAGTCTGCGCTTATTTGGACGATCTCATAGTAGTCAGTAAGGACGTTGATTCCCATCTGATTAAACTGCGTGAAGTTTTGGAAAAACTTTCCACAGCAGGTCTTAAAATTAAACTCTCGAAGAGTGAGTTCTTTAAATCCAGAATCCATTTCCTTGGTCATGTAGTTGACGGTGAGGGCATCCACACAGTAGATGATAAAGTCAAAGCTGTATCTCAGTTCCCACGTCCTACCTCAGTTGATCATGTGCGTAGTTTTCTTGGCTTATCTGGATATTATCGTTCTTTATCTAAGAACTATGCAACATTAGCATCGCCCCTAACAAGGTTAATTAAGAAAGATGCAATGTTTATATGGGACGCTGAACACGAAAATAGTTTTGCGGCATTGAAGATAGCGCTTACCAATGCCCCTGTTCTAGCATTCCCAGACTACACTCAACCTTTCACTCTCTGTACTGACGCTTCCGGACTTGGAGTCGGAGCCGTGCTCATGCAAGAGGATACGCGTAGGAAGTTTAGAGTGATAGCTTTTGCAAGTCGCAAGCTTATTGATGCTGAAACACGTTATTCGGTAACGCATTTAGAAACGTTAGCCGTTGTGTGGGCACTTAAGAAATTTAAAGACATTATCTTTGGATATAAGATAACTGTTTTTACTAATCATGCGGCAGTAACTGAGCTGTTCCATGGCAGAAACTTACCAGGCAGATTAGCACGCTGGTATCTGACAATTCAAGAGTTTGACCCCGAGTTTAGATATTTACCCAGGAGGGCGAATGTTGTCGCCGACGCTCTGTCAAGAAATATAGCACCAATAATGCCTGTATCAACCTGCACTCTTTCGCAACTGGAAGATGAGCAACGACGCGACCCATTATGGTCAGCAGTCATTTTCGCTTTCGAATCAGGAGAGGATGTTAAACTCCCCAAATTAATTCTTCCCTTAAGTCAGTTTGAATTACGACATAACATACTCCATAGGTCGAAAAAGACGCCAGAGGGAAATGTTTCTCAAATAGTCGTACCTGACACGTTGTGTAAAGCGGTTATAACATTGTTCCATGATGTTCCACAGGCAGATCACCACTGTCGTGACAAATGCCTAGCGGAATTACGAAAGAAGTATTTCTGGAACACTATGAAGAAAAACATAGAATTACACATTGCTAATTGTTTGGCATGTGCTCAACATAAAGGTTCTACATGATCACCGGCCCCGATTTTACAATATCCTACACCAGACCGTCCGTTTGACACAGTCGCTATTGACTTGTTAAAACTCCCGAAGAGTCATCAGGGATCAACGTACGTCTTAGTGTGTGTGTGGATCATTTTTCCAGGTTCGTGGTCTTGGTCCCACTAAAAGTTAAAACGGCCAATGCTGTGGCCAATGCATTAGTGATGAATCTTATATGTCCATACACTACGCCTAAAGTTCTGCTCTCTGACAATGGGGCAGAGTTCAAGAATCAGCTAGTAGCGCAAATATGTGCACAATATGGAATTAAACAAAGTTTTGTGACAGCTTATCATCCACAGGCTAATGGCCTTGTTGAGAGAACCAATCGCAAAATCCTTGAGATGTTGCGTCTAATTGTCAGTGATTTGCAATACGCATGGGAAGATTGGTTACCGCAGGTTGCAGCGTCTATAAATGGGTCAATTAATAGCTCTCCGGGCAAATCACCCAACTACATTGTCTATGGTACAAATAAACGTCTACCTTACGACATCCTTACAGATGCGCCATACCCGGTTTATAATATGGATGATTTCGCGGCAAAACAAATTCGTGTCTTTACGGA